TTTAAATAAATTATAGAGAATCTGTTAGAACATCTTCAAAAGATTCTCTATGATTTGTCTAAAATAGAAAACCAAAAGTTAAAATCTTTAAATAAATTACATTCAACTCCAACAAATTCTCTATTTTAGAGATTTCATCATTAATTATATTATTTGAATATTATATAATTTTATGATTTCAATACAATTTTTAAAAAACTTTTATATAAAATAATATTAATTCAATCTTATTGGTGGAATTAAAAAAAAAAACGCATTTATCTTTCTTCTAGCGAAAGTTTTAGAGAATTATTTGTATTTGAATTTTTTTCTATATTTCTCCATTTTATAGAATAAGATAGACAATCTGTTGAATCATATAGAGAATAAAAACTTCATTTTCTCTATTTTAGAGAATATGTTAGAGATTGGGGGGACGTTTGGTTCTCAAAATGTTTTTTGAAGGAATATAAACTGTCAAAGGGATTTGATCTTGAAAGAATTGAAATGGAATTTGACCACACGTTTGGTTGAAATGAATTGGAATTCGCTTGTTTGGCTGGTAGAATATAGCTTCGGAATCGTATTGAATAAACAACAAATGGCCAAAACACCCCTTTTAGAATAGTGGTGGTCATCGGTGGTTTCGAATGGTAGTGGTCAGCGGTGGTTCAGAACAGTAGTGATCAGTGGTGGTTCAGAACATTGGTGGTCGGTGGTGGTTCGGAATGGTGGTTCAAATCGATGGTGGTTCAAATTCGTGGTGGTCGATGATGGTTCAAATCAGTGGTGGTCGACAGTAGTTCAGACTGATGGTGGTAGACGGTGGTTTAAAAGGGTGGTTCAGATCGGTGGTGGTCGACAGTTGTTTAGTCGGTGGCGGTCGTCGGTAGCTCAGAATGGTAGTGGTCGGCGGTGGTTCAGATATAAATCATATGGGTCTGTGTAAATCAAATAGGGAATATGAGATAATTTTGTTCTTTTAAGAAAATAAGATTGAACGAAATTAAATTTCTTCTCAATCGTGATAAAAGAGCAAATCAACGAATGATAAAATGTATAAAATTCAATTACGTTTCATAAATAAACCAAACACCTGAATAAAATTTAACCAACAAAATTACTCATTTTAATTATTTCAAATTTCGTCGGAATCTTCCAACCAAACCCTATTTTAGAGTTATGGAATTTCCAATTACTCATTTTAATTATTTCAAATAAATTATTTAATTATAAGTTTTAAATAAATTATCTACTAATAAAATTAATATTAAAATATTTATTTTTAAACAATTTTTATTTAAAAATAGAGTAAAATATGATATTTATTGATCCATGTGATTTGTTAAAAATTTCTTTTTTGGTCCTTGTAGTTTAGTAATTACATTTACAGCCATCGTGAATTTCATTTTATTTATATTTTGTTACTTGGTTTAAAGTCCGTCTAAAAGAGTAAAGGACTCTTAAATCATGCACCAATAAAACTAAGAAGGAATAAGAATCCCCTTACCGCCATAAATGTTCAAATGCAGTGACTTCGGACTACTCGTAAAGTTGATGGTCGTTTTCGGATTAGTCAACTCGCATAGTGGATCAGATATCCAGGTTAATAAAAAAATCATAAGAATGACTTTTATAGAAACGATCATATAACAAATAAACCTCTTTTTCATTATATTTTGTAAAATGATCATCAAATCGTTGAAATTATATTTTATAAAATACTACAACTACAACAACAACAACAAAAAGTTTGTTTGTTATATGAACATTTTTATAAAGGCCATTATTATAATTTTGTTGGTGCAAGGATTCAACAACCATATATTTGTTTGATATGTAATCATTTTTATGTCAATCGAAAGTGTGGGTTCACTATATTCTATTTCATCTGATTTCTTCTTAGAGATTGTTTGTTTACGTCTTAATAGTTTTATTAAAAGTCAGTATTTGAATCGTTAAGAGGTGAATTTTATTTGATAAAAAATAAATGTCTCTTAATAGTTCTAAAACCCTCTGAATGATTTTGTAACATATGTCTCTCTTAACCATTCAACACCCTAAACACTGTTTAAGAATCGTGTTAGAAGAAGAATTAAGATGAGAAGTGTAAGAGGGATCCTGAACCCTTGATCACCTTTAATCTTAAACTCACTCATTAATCATGTTTGATACGGGGATTGACCTAGTGCATCTCTACACATCTCATCTTGGTGCATCTCATCCTAATGTGCATCTAAAAGTAAAGATCGTTTCTTATGTTTCTCACATTAATTATCTTTCTTATCGGAACCCAACCATGTATATATACACATAACATATATAGTGATGGATTGGGAAAATTACATCATTGATGGTATAATATAGAATAAAACAATAATTAGTTAGAATGGTATGTATATAAACATACAATCTCAACTCTCAATCTCTCGTTCTCTCTCACACACACACACACACATATATATATATATATACACACACAGAGATGAAGAATGATCTGAGAAATAAATTTATGGTAAGAAGCGTAAGAAGATATTTGAACCCTTGATCACTTTTAATCTCATGTACACCCATGAATTACGTTTTAGAAAGGGTAAAATAACAATGATAAAATAACATAATATAAAAGGGTAGCGACTAGCGTGGGTTTAAGACTTATAGTGAAAGGTAAACACAAATTCCAGCAGACAATGTTGTAGGCAAAATTAGTTCCACCATCTATTTTGAAGGTATTTTTCTAGAACTTCACCTTTGCACTATATAGCTTTTAACTCATATCTCTATGTGGTATCCAGACCAGGGATAGTGACAAAATGATGTCTTCAAAATATATGGATAAACAATTTTTTTTTGGTAAAAATCACTCTCTCGAGCCGATTCCCATATCATTCGAGTTGGCGTGTGTTTTAGATAGATCTCTGAATCTATCGCACTTTGACACTTTTAAAGAGTAATCAACCCGTCGGGAGTTAATTTGAAAGACATAAATGATAAGTCTAATTCTCGGTAACTTTCTCGAGTTTACCTCTTATATCATTCAAGTTAACGTGCATTCAATGACTTATCTCTAAGACTATGGCACTTTAACACTTTGAAAGTGATCAACTCGTCAAGAAGTGTACTTAGTTTTTATAAAACTTGAATGAAATAGTGGAACATTGTTATTGGGAAACAATGTCCACTTTCATTCGGTTTAACATTTCACCATTTATCTCACACCCAAGCTAACGAAATTAGCTATTTATTACGAAAAATAAATGACATGAAATATAAAGAACAGAAAGTAAATATATAAATATAAATGACGGAAAGTAAATGACTGAAAGTAAAGAGCGGAAATTATATGACAAGAAAAATAAATAAAGTAAGAACAATGTTGCAGCAACTCATAACAAATAACAATATTTAAAGAAAATTCAAGAACTAACTTTCATATGCATAAACTACATATCTAAAAGTTTGTATCTGTGGGATGATTTATAAGAGCAACCAAGGGGTCATATTTATACAAAAGACCTAAGGATCAAGACAAAGTATTGGAAACCAACATGTTTCAAAAGGGAGAGACAAAGGTAAAAAGGGGATATCACATCACACAAAGGCAACCACCAAAAACCCCTTCTTCAGCTGCGATGGTTATTATCCAAAGGTTCAATAGAATTTTGTCTTCACTGCAATATGGCAACTGAATCATTAAGCACTTCCCAAAAGGTCGTTTCTTAACAGATCAATGCTGTTGAAATGCTGTAGGATAGAACATAGTGTTTCCAAGTTAAGATCACTTATACTCAAATGGTGTAAAGACAAGTTAATCACTCAATTTAGCTCCAAGTATAAACAAATATAAAATAATGTAATAAAAAGGACTCAAAGTTGGGATAAAAGAAAATAAACTACCTAAAAGTAAAGAAATTGATACTTTATGCATTGAATAATCAATGCTTATCAATAAAGCATTATAAGTACAAAAAACTAATGCACCAAGTGTTGCGATTTATCAATAGTTTTTGGATGAAGAATGTCCGAAGAAACAAAAGAATAGAATGGACTTTATGCCTATCAAATGAGTCAAAAACTTTGGTTTTAAAATGGCCCAATCAAATATAATTTTAATTGTTCTATTTATTTTTTGTTTTATTCTTACAGATTGTAAAAATATTAGTTCAATATTCGAAAAGTGAAGGGCGGAATTGGTAGTGACTTAAGATGTTAGTATGTGTAATCGTAATAATTTTCACATCGTGGGTCCCTCTATGTAGGCCAGTGTTTCAATATGAAAAAACAGTAAAAGAGAAACCACTCACTCCTGCTTTACATCTTGCATTTATAGACAAAACTTAGGAGAAATTTATTAAACCGAGTGTTATTTATCATATCGAGGGAGAATGACAAAAACCAATAATTTGCCATACCAATGGCCTAGAATACCATAAGAGAGGAAAAAGACTTTTAACCTGCTAATGTTGATCAGGTAAAAGACGTTTACCAACAATCTATTTTGATGTTTGAGAATATAACCTAATAAGGGGCCGTTTGTTTACCTCTTGATAGTTACATTAAGAGACAACATCTGAATCGTTAAGAGGTGAATATTGTTTGGCATAAAAAAAAGTCTGCCTCTTAATGGTTATAAAAATCCTCTGAATGATTTTGTATCATAAGTCTCCCTTAACGATTGAATGCCGTAATTCCACTGTAAACAATTACCAAACAATTATATTTCATTTTGCAATATATCATGAGAGCCTCTTAATCATTATAACTACTTAATCATTCTGCATCAAATCATTCAATAACTGTCAAACAATCAAGGCCTCATGGTTGGGTTGATAGATCAATACCAGAAGAAGTGGTCTCATAACGGTGGCCAAACTACCAACTTGTAGAAGTATCATTTAGGGACTGAAAGGGTCATATGTTAAGTAAAAGGACTAAAATTGCATACTAAGCAATAGTACAGGGACCTTTTATGTAATTAAGTTGTTTGTTATATTTTCCATGGATGAGTCAAAGACGACGGCTAAACTGGTCAATACAACGGACCCGGCTTTCTTCTTTAAAAAGAGAGCAAATTCATCAGTAATTTCTGTTGATCCCACGATCCGATCATTTCAATCAGATAATCCGGTACAGGGATTCGGTCGCTACTCCACACACTTTCAAACTGATTTTCATCCTTCAATGGCTGCAAAGAAGGTTTTGCTCACAGTCAATGGCGATGAGGTTTCTAGAAACATCGCTTATCACTTAGCAAAACGCGGCTGCAGGTATGTCTCTCTCGATGTGTTTTCTAGATTGAGCTCTGGTTTTGAATTTCGTAAACCTTTGGATCTATTTATTTGTTTAGGTTGGTGTTGGTGGGAAACGAGAAGGTTCTCAAGGGCGTTACGGATTGGATAATCAACGATCTGAAGGGAGTGACGATTGATATCGTTGGATTAGACATGGAAGAGGAGAGAGAGGCGGTTTTTGATGCAGCCGTGGAGAAAACCTGGAATATTTTGGGGAAAGTGGATGCGTTAGTTAATTGTTACACTTATGAAGGTAAACCGCAACTCGCTGCCATTTTTACCAATTTTTTCCCATCGTTTCAGTGATCTAACTAATCTTGTTATGTGGATATAATTCCATAAATGGCAAATCGATTCATGGCTGCCATGGAATTAGATATTTTGGAGAGCTTTGTTTCAGTTTAGTTATTCATGGCATGATGTGCTATTGAACAGCAATCAGTCACTCATTTCCCTCTCACAGGCCACCAACAAACCCCTGAGTCATCCACTAAAACATTAGTTGTAGGTTTATTTTTATTTTTATTAACCTAAAATTATTAATAAACACAAAGCAAATAAAAGTTAGACCCAATTCTAATTCTTATCATCTCATTTAGAACTCTTACTTACAGCAGTGATTACTTGATCAATTATACTCTAATTCCTCTAACTTTTAAGTGTCAAACCGTTAAAACTCATTTTATTTCTCTTGTTTTTGTTTGCTATAATGCTAATGAATAAGTTATATTTATTCAAGTAAACTGGACCTTTTAGCTGAAAACCGAATAACCAAAATCGTATTGGTTCGAAAGAGTTATTCGGCTTCAAATTTTCTTTAACATCCTTAAAAGGTGCCCCCAATAATAAAAGTTTCTGGATTCGCCATGGGGCGGGGACCCCGTTCCCGATCCCCATCTTTGTCACCGTCCCCCATCCCCAACGGAGAACGGGGATCCCCAACGGGAAACGGGGATTTTTTTTTCCTGTTTGTGTAAGTTTTTTTAATCAAATGTGTGACACATGTTTAAATCTCACATTTTTCCAATAAACCTAAAATCAAAAGGAATTTAATTTAATACAAAAAATATACATCATCATATAATAATTAATAAATCGAAAACCAAAAGAAATTAAATTTAATTTAAAAAAATTAACGTCACATGTACCAAAACATATTGAGTAGTATCCAAAACCACATCTAGTAATATAAAAAATATATTGAAAAAGAAATTACTATTTACCTATTTAATAGAAATAAATAATATATAATATAATTTATTAGTTAATATATATACGGGTTCGGGGCGGGGAGTGTGATACCTGTCCCTGTCCCCATCCCCGGTTTGAGCCGAACGGGGATCCCCGTCCCCGTTCCCAAGACCCGGTTTGATGGGGAATCCCGTCCCCGACCAAGGCGGGTGGACTGGGTTTCCCGACGGGTCCAATTCCCATGCCTATGGCATCAGCACCAAACCAAATGGTTTAGAATTTTTGTTAAGCTATTGTTGGTAATTTATTTAAACTGCACCATGTTTGTTTCGCGGTTTTGAACTATCAAACAACTGATCAAACTGCATAGCATATTAAAATATATTATACAAATAATTTATATTGTTTTTTACTATTAAACACAAATTTTCTAGCCAACAAACGATATTAAAAAATGAAGTTGTTTTGGAGGAGATTTTTGTTTTAGATTTGTTTTAAAAGTTTGAATAAAATATGTTTTACATTTTGGATCTAATTATGCTACCTGTTTATGGTTTGGTTTTTTGTGGGATGAGGTATATGCGGTTTTGTTTGTGGTTTGGCATAAAGATCAACTGCATATGTGGTTTGGTTTGTGGTCTTTGACTCTAAACTGCCTGCACCACAAACACCCATAGTTTGACCTTTTATAGGGGTGCCTGAATACGCAATTTGAAATGTGATTTCTTGATTTAAAGAATGATAACCAGAAAATCAGTTCCAATATGCATTTCGAACCAAAAACGCCTTCCAAGTCAAAACAAAAAAGCAGAAGAGATAGTTGTGATTGTCTGATTGATCCAAGTCTTGCACAAATGGAGATCTCATTAAAGTTTTATGTTGGTGAGCAATATGATGAAGAGCTATTATGATGTGTTGGAACAAACTTAGGGGTGGTTTGGTTGATTCTTCATTAAATCTTGCATGGATAAAGTTGTCTGTTTAATTTGTCTGTATAGATTAGGAAAGTTTTTGTTTGGGAGAGCTTTTTCATAGATGAAAGGAGTGTGCTTTCTAAATGAGAGGGACATGTTTGGGGAAAAAAATCTAGGCTTTCTGCATAAAGCTCCCTCCATAAGCTTACAGACTAAGCCACTTTCTATATTATCAAGCTACCATCAAACAGTCATGTATAGTTGACCGAATAAACAAGCCCTTTCGAGATGCTGCTTCTGTTCTTTTTGGGCATTCTTGGGTTTTCTTTTTACACCAAAATGTAGTCTTTAATTAGTAGGAAACTAGTTAATACATGTAGATAATGATGTGCAGTGTTAGATGACTTGTTTTTATGACACAGGAAAGATGCAAGACCCACTGCAATTGTCTGAAGTTGAGTTCAAAAAGACAGTCAGAATAAACTTTATGGCTGCTTGGTATTTGATGAAAGCTGTTGCAAAGAGAATGAGGGATAACAAAACAGGAGGATCCATCGTATTTATGACCTCAATAATTGGTGCTGAGAGAGGGATATATCCAGGTGCAGCTGCATATGGTGCATGTTTAGGTGGAGTTCATCAATTGGTCAGGGTAAGTAACTTGGATCTTTCTTTCCCTTCAATCCATTTGCATACACATATTACCACATTTGGTTTATTATATAGATGAATGGTATATTAGCTTACCATTTAACATCTAGTTTCCTGATCCATTTATATTTTATGGGGATGGTAACTCTGGTTCCGGTGAGGATGAGAGTTATGGTGAGAAGGTTAAGAAGGGATCTCCACTCCTGCCTCAATCCTAATTGAAGAGTTCCACTAGATCAACAATAATGAGAAGCACCGGATCAATTCCCTTCTAAAGCGCAATTCTGGGTGGTTTGAGATTAAAATTGTTCAAGCGTCCAAATCCCTTCTTACACTTCTAATCTTAACTCCTATTCTCACACAATCCTTCGTTTGGACCTGAAACATGGAGAATAGAGGAAAACGATAGTATGTTTATTGAGGAGTAATTAGGGGGGTTTTCAAGGTAGCGCACTATGTGTAGGGACCTATAGATCGTGATTTGGAGGAGGGGAGATTGTACGGATAGAAGGTACGTTGAGATATGGGGATGGTTGGAGGGCCGATTGATAGGTTTTCAGAAGATTAAGATAGATAGAGGGATTTAGTTTGTCGTACTGTTATATTTTTCCATGCTTCCTTTACTTGATTATGTAACCCATTTAACTGCTTTATCTTTTCTAGTCTTGGTTATTCTTTTCAAAGTTTTTTGTAATGTACCTTTTGGTCTCAAGTTTTTCCCCACTTCTCATTTTCTTCAATTGTTTTTTACAAAAAATTTCAAATGCTCGTGCTCCAAACTTCTTTCACAAGCCGGGGATCTTCACGAAAATAACAGTCATACTCTTTTTGATAGAGGTCAGGTCTGTGCACATCTTACATTCTTACCTCTATCAGATCATGCTTCCGAATGGGACATACCAAGTCAGTTTGGTTTCCTTGTGATGTCATCGACTCCTATGTTGGAGTTCGTTAAAGACTTTGTTTTGCGTTTATACAGGCACAAGCAAAACATGGTCTTTTACTCCTTTAATCATGATTGTTATGATCATAAATGGGTAGCGCTTACTCTTTGACTGCTGTTATGATCGTATATACCCCTTGCTCATGATTTGTATGATCGTATATGGGTAGACGCTGTTCTTATGATTATCTACTTGCGTTCTTTGCTATGATCGTAATAGCGTGTCTGACTTGTGTGATCAGACATCGGCTATGGAGATTGGTAAGCACCAGATCAGGGTGAATGCAATAGCTCGCGGGATTCATATAGATGATGAATTTCCGTTATCAGTGGGGAAGGACAGGGCACAAAGTTTGGTGAAGGATGCAGCCCCACTAAACAGATGGTTAGACCCCAAGAACGACCTTGCTTCGACCGTGATCTACTTGGTGAGCGATGACTCCCGCTACATGACTGGAACCACGATATTCGTTGATGGTGCACAGTCGGTCGTAAGGCCTCGCATGCGTGCTTACATGTGAATTTGGAAAAAAATCATGGGTTGGGACTCGGGGTTCATTAGACTTGTTGAATGATTGGATCACTTATAACGTTGTTTTGGAGTGAGATTATTGGTGTAACATGTGATGTTACGTAATCAGCCCCTGGGCTGGGGCTATACTCATATCACCGCATTAACATCCCAAGTTCTTTTTTCCATTTTCAATGTAAGAGAATACAGATAGCAGCGTTCCATATGATGTCAGGGTATTTCTAAAATAATGAGATTTGAAAGTGCATTCCCACTGTTTTTAAGTGGTATGGTTGGTTGATGTTCTCGATTGGTTCTATACTACACTTTACTTAAAGCTCGTCTTATTGTTTAAATGTAGACCAATTGACGAAAAATCGTGCGAGAAGAGGTTCAAACCCTTGATCACTTTTAATTTTGTGTCTACCTATGAATTATGTTTTAGAGGGAAATTGATCTGGTGCACCTTATTAGTGTTGACATTCAATTATGATCGATATCTCTTCTTACGTTTCTCATCATAACTTTCATCCTCACCGGAAACTCGACTCTTGCTTAAAAACGGGTCAAAGTTTGTCCATTATAATTTTGTGGGTTCATTAGGTGTGTACTTGTCAATGGGTAGACTTCGGGGTGAAAAAACCTATATGCTTAACGGGCAACGAGACTTAAATCCTCTTGTAAATTGTTGGTTCAACATCTTCGCTCAGATCTCTTATGTACAATTTGTTGTTAAATGCGGAGACAGAGAAAACTTTTCAAGTGGTGAAATTATTTAATTATAAAAAATAAATATATAGATATTTTTACAAAATCACAAGTGGTTTTTTTTCTTTAAGATTTTTTTTATTGAATGGTCTTTAACCCCCTTTTGTCTCGTTTAAAATATTGGTTGACCTTGATCCCTGTTATTTTGAGGTCATATCTAGTATTCAAAGTTTGCCTCAATTTGGTTCCCATGGACTGCTTGGATCCCATGAGTGAATCGAAAATTTAATATGAATATTTTCCCCTATTTTTTTTATTCTGAAACACGGAAAAAGATCATTGGCCTTTTTTTGTTAACCTGGATATCCAACTCACTATTCGAACCAACTAATCCCAGAGCGACCACCTACTTTGCGGGTACCCCGGAGTCACCGCATTTGAACCTCCTTGGTCACAAGCGGATTTTTATTTCTTCTTGGATTTGAACCTAAGACCTCCAGGCACTTTTGACCTTTGGGGCCGAAGCTTAAACCAATCAGGCACCAACCTTGTAGTTTATCATTGGCCTTTGTCATTTGATTCAATTAGTTGTTTGTTTTTTAATACTTAGAGGTCCTGCGTGCATCTCTTTTATTGCAAAAAAAATAATAAACATATTAAATCTGAAATTAAAGGTTAAAAACTAAAAAAATGTCATAAACAAGATTCAAACCATCTTGGATGGAAGAATAACTATGCAAACCAACACAACCAAAGAAAACTTGAATTATTATTGTAGTTTCAAAAATGATGTGGTGGCACGTTTCACGACCCTATAATTTTTTACATCACGACAGATGAGCGAATTGTTGGTCAATGCCAGTGTATCCAATAAAATAGGTCTGCCCCTGATTAAATGATTGTCATCGCCTCATCCGACTATTTTCCCAACTTGTGGTTTATGGTTTCTTTTATTTTGTTGTTCCAAATTAAATAAATTTACACTTCCAACATAATCATAGATAATAAGCTGTCAATATTTTTAGATCTAATCAATCCTACCCGGTCCTCTAATTGTAATTTCTTGTTTGATTTATGTCACACAACCTATTTCATGATCCGCTCGTCACGATTTCTTGTTTGGTTGTACATTCCGTAACTCGCTCCATGGTCGAGTTTGACAGAACCCTTCAAAGTGATGCAACATGCCATTGCAATCTTATTTTGGATCGTTTAGATCAAAGAGTAACATTTCTAATTCATTTCTTGACTATCAATCCAAACAATCTAACAAAAAAATCATCAACGCTTTGAAAGATAGCGAATGAGAGTTAAAGTGAGAAGCATAATAAGGGATTTGCTCCTATGATCACTTTTAATCTCAAACTCACTCATGAATCGCACATGATACGGAAATTGATCCAGAGCATCTCGATGCATATCATCCAAACATACATCCAACAACGAAAATCCCTTCTTTCACTTTTTCCACCTTAACTCTCTTTCTCAATGGAATTCAATCCCACTTTAAAAAGGCTTTAATAAATAAAATCTATACTATGTTATAAAACATTTGACAAAAACTCTTAAAAACCATTTTTTTTATGCACACGATATTGTTTATTGATGCACACTACTTAAAATTCAAAATTACAATTAAATTATGCATAAATACAGCTTATTAAAACTTCATATTTGAACCCATATAACTAACAACAGATAAAAATAATCAAATAAGAATAAACATCTCTTTTTAAATATAAAAAAACTAATATATAAATAGGATAATTACTTAGTCATAACAGAATACTTTATTATTGTTTCTATAAAAACTTATATTATTAAACCAAAAAAATAAATTACTTCGTTATTAAGTCTAAATTAAATTATAATTAAAAAATTGAATTAAAGATATTATAAAAAACTAGAACTTTTAAATAACTAATTTGATACTAAAGCATTTTATAACATAGGCAAAAGCATAGATAAAACAAAACATTAAAATTGAAAGGTGAGAATCACAAATTCTATAAGAAATGAGCTTCATTGTTAAGGCGTAAACAATTCAAGCTTTTAACGAGCTACTTGAGCTCAACCTTAATTATTGGGAAAAGAGTTAATTACCGGTAACCCTAACTGGCCCCAACACGAAACATGCCTCCATGAACATCAATTTGAGGGACATTTTTTTGGCTCACTCAGCGGCTAAGGCTAGCAAGGTGCCTGAGATCGAATCCTAGACCTATTATGCATTTGGGACAGAGTCTCCCACCAACTGAGCTACACACCAGAGGCGCTCAAGCTTAATTATTATCGAGCTCAAGTCAATCTCAAACACAAAATAAACTCCTTTAACTTAATAAGCCAAGCCTCGTAACACCAATGTTCAACTCGTTCAAGAACTCGATTAAAATTTTCAAGTCGAACCAAGCTATTCGAGCATTACTTTCTCATATATTCATAAATCATACAATAATAATATATAAATTGTCGATCATGAGTTCAAACCCATAAACAAACATCAAGCTTGATAAATCAAAAACATTCTAGCTTGAGCTTGAGCTTGAGCTTGAGCTTGAGCTTGAGCCTTGCTTTGAAAAGGTCATACGAACTCGAGTCTAGTTTAATTTTTTCAAGTCATGCTCCGATAACCTACCACTCGAGTCAGCTCAGTGAATCACCCAACCCGAGGCCGATTGCCCCCCGCATGATGCTCTTAAAGACAAGACAGAATGAATCCACTAGTGGGTTGTTTTATAAACCACTTTTGTAGAAAAAGTGGGAAAAAAACCAAGAGGAATGGTTCAACATAAATACCAATTCAATTGCGTCATCAACCTAACCCAAAATGATTTCCTTTTCAAACATAAAGACCTACCAAACACAACATTTCATAACTTCTTCCCATTAAAACAATTTCAACAGACCCAAAGACTGGCTCTTAATATTTTCATCGCATGTCAAATTATAACATATATGGAATTTTGAAGTAAGTGACATTGGAAAGGCTTTCAAAAAAGGTTTACCTCAAGACAAGTCAGCAAGAGCAATTTGTGATCAATGTCCAAAATTAATATGAGAAATACACAATTTTAGACATATGCAATTATACACCTTCTAAAATTCAACTTTACCTTTAATAATAATAATAGGAGTAATGAATTTCCTCTTTTCATAATTAAAACTAGAATTAGAAAGTAAGCACTTAGGTTTGAAAACGAACATATATTTTTGGACAAACTACAATAAAAATATGGACCTGATTGAGGAGCGGAATGTAGCAAAAAAGACAGCACCCTCTGCAAATGGCAACTTCTAGTGGTAAAAGATCATCACTTCCAGACTGCAGACCAGTGGTTTTTCACTATAAAAGAAGGGACATTACTCAAAAACTTGGAAGTGTCACAACTTCCATGATCAATCAGAAGGGAATGCACCATGAAATTAGGATGGACTGCCCGACCACACCCACTAGACTAAGAGGTTGTTTGATTGATTTTCCATCATGTCATGTACACATAAAGTTGTTTATGTGGATAAATCTATCTTTATAGATTAGAAAGATTTTTGTTTAAGAGGGTTTTTGATGGGAAGATTGTATTTTTGAATGGAAGGCTCGATTTTGGAAGAAAAAAAAAACTTGAATTTCTGCATAGAACTCCTAGAAGTTTACTTTATATATCATTATGTAACTACATGTATTGCCAACCAACTGAGTCACATGAAGCTTCATTAGGCTGCTAAAACATGCCCTAACTAAAGGACATCAATGGACAACCTAATATGGCAATTATCAATAAAATGACACATGACCAAAATATAAAGAAGCTAAAAGTCAATCAAATCCATGTAGCTTAATCCTCTAGCACAAGAAAGGTTCGATATGATGGGTGTAAATACCTAGTTAGCACAAGTGAACAGATATAACCCTCTTTCACAACAAACAAACAGCATAAACACATTAGCTTGTTTCTTCTAGGGTTCTTGTGGTAGTTCATTTTTTGCTGCATTGCAATTTTCTCAGCCAATTAATATATCTCTCAAACAAATGATAAGAGTTTAGCACGACCAAGAATGGTAAAGCTATAAAGCTTTAAAGAAACAATAACAAAAAAGAAAACACGACGATATAATAAAAGCAATATGCATTGCTCTACCATTGAATCAATTATCTATTCCAAAGGTAATGACATAAGAAAAACACCAAATGGAGATGAAATTTTGACCTCAAACACAAATTACTCTAATCATATCTTATCAAAATCAAGCATATAGCATCACGAAGTTTAAAAATCAAACATGCCTCAAAAGTAAAGCCATGAATGTTAAAATTGAACCAGTGATTTTGTGATGACGAGAAGAAGGTGAAATCAACGCAACCTCCTGGCCTCCCTCTCCGACTCGAGCAAGGTAAGAACATCACCTTCTCTGACAGGTCCTTTAACGTTCCTCATAATAAAACGGTTCTGGTCATCGAGAAACTTCACTCTCACTTGTGTGACCTGCCCTCTAGATCCGGTTCTGCCCATCACTTTCACCACAACTGCGTGCTTGATCTGAGATTCCATCTTTCAATCGCTGCAATTCAATTAATAAAACACGAATCAAACTCAAATGTCATCCTGTCTTTACATATATTAGATCCGTATGTGCAAAAACGGCACCGGAAGATTCACGTAACACCAAAAACAAAAATCAAAATTCATGAACACAAAGCAACGATGATGGATAAGTTTACATATGGAAGAAACGTTTAACTCGTAAAAATCGAAGTTTTAACTTGATAAATCAGAACAAAATTTAAATCCACATCAACGATTAGATTACCTAGAGCAACTCTAGAGATAGATCCAATGACCACAGGAGGATGAGGTGCGGCTGCTTCGAATCGATTGACGAGATTGAGAAATCCAAAAACCCTAGGTAGAAGGTTTTATACAAGAGAAATCTATGGGAATACACATCAATCAAGTCGGAATGGGCCTCTGAGATGCAACCCCCGCATCTGCAACTAGGCCCATAAAAAGAAGGCCCTGTCAACGAGTCTGTGTTCCCATTTCCCAATAGGATTAAATATATTAAATGAATTAAAAAAATTAAATTATTTATTAATATACCAATATCAATAAAACTAGTAAAACACAACTTATATTGTTAATGTTTTTTTAAAAACATGTGTTTTTTGAAAAAAGAAAATAAGAATTGTTCTTTTTTTTACCAAAAAATATTACCTTTTAAATAATGGATTATATTTGTTCAAAAACTTTTACTTGACGTATAAATATATTAAATTAATTGGATTTGTTTGAATTATTTATTAACTAGTTGTGTACCTGCGCAATGCGGCGGGAGCCATGAATTTTAACGATTTTGAAGTTTCACTGGTTTTATAAGATAAGATTTAACGATGATATAGATTACACTTGGTCTTTACATATTAATACAATTTGAATAAATAAGAGTTATGTTTCCAATTATAGACTATCGATGAAAAAATTGTTTGACAATTTAAAATCCAATATATTTAAAATCCAACATATTTAAATGACTCTACAAATATGTTCGATCTACACCAAGAGCAAAGAACCAAGAAACTTGAGTTTTAAGATAAACACTCAAAACCAATAAAGAAAACTACAAATTTGACATATCATAAGTCATGAAAAAACCAAAAAAGATGGGTTTTAGAAGAAAATTTCAACTGCTTACCATTTTTCTTGTCCAGAAACTCAGATTAAGGTTGAACAAATACATGTATATATATATATATATCAAAAAAACCCAATAACATATTAATTCATAACATATTATACAGTGCAATTTGGACAGCCTAACCCCAAAATATATAGTATATATATAAATAAATAACTATAAAAGTATAAATCGTAAATATTAAAAATATTTTTTCACTGTATATACAATATATAATAATATAATTAAGTCAAAAATTATTCAATATTAGACTCATTTCGAATGTATTAACGAGACGATCATAATGGTGTAACTTGTTAAAATAAAAATGTATTTTTTAAACATGTTTTAATTGATATACGATTATGTATGTTAATTTGATAAATGCTTAAAATGAAACATTTAAAAGTAAATGACGTAAAGTAAATTAATTAACTAATTATAGGAGTATAAAGTGTAAAGTGTAAATTTAAAATCATAATTTTGAGAGGGTGAGTGTATGTGAAGGGGTGAGAGGATGAGATGAAAAAGTGATGTAAGGGTAGTATAAAGGGTATCTTGGTCATTTAGTATTTTAAAATTTTTATTAAATTTGCTTAATAAGATAGCATAGATATAACAATATTAAAAAAATTGTAGACCATAATTTATTTTGTAAAACATTTTAAAGAAAACTTTAAAATATATGTATTTTTTTGAACAACATAAAATAAGAAGTGTTACTTTTTTTACAAACATAATATATCTCGAAAATAATGTATCATATTTATTTAATAAATATTTTACTGTAAAATATTAATTTGCATGCAACTTAATAAGAAAAAGTCAAACAAAATTAAATGTTTTTTTTAAATCATAACAATGAAAAATAAAGTGTTACTTGTGAATTGTGATGTTTGATCTAAGATATTTAGAATAAAGATCCATATAGAATTGTTAGCTTTCTCAGCCGGAAAAACAACTCCTACGCGTAAACCATGTCAAACCAATACCGATCAATATCCGAACGGAACGGAATCTAACTTCTCTTATAATAGTTTTCCGGTGCGAGATGAAATTCATAAGATATATGAGTAATTCAAAGACGATAATCTTGGTTGGTACCAACCCCGACAGTGATTATCTCGATTCGTATTGAAGTGGTAGCCCCTGTTTCACTAATTTCCATGAGTCACTTGAACTGAGCTAAGAGCTTAGGATATGCCTTTTCAGAGTCGTCTACATATCACCAATTGACCAACGATGAAACAAAGACTGAGATAGATGCTATCGTCACTTAATGTTCAATAGCAAGCAAGAGACCTATTTCCCTATGGGCTAGCTAGCCTATGAGATGGCCATTTATTCGTTTTTTTCTTTCTACCGTGAGTACCTTCCTCTGGTTACTTTCAAATAACAGCGCATAATGTAAGTATTTCTTCCCATTTATTCTTTTATGGTTTTATCTGTTTGTAATGCTTATAGCTAAGTGCGGATAAGGTACCCAGGGGCCAAAACGAAACAACACTGAAAGCTCTTCATTGCAAGTCGAACGTTGTTTTTATCCGATAGATTTTAGATTCTAAAGTGACGTAGTTGGATTCAGTTCCCAACAACTCCCATGCTTATCGTTGGTCGACAATTGGGCCTCCGCCGCTACTTGCGGATTCCGAAGTACAAGAAGAGGGACACCATTTGCTGCTCAAACTGCTCCAAATATAAACAACCCGACCTGATGAACTACCAACAACAGAAGAACTAGCAACAACGGGAGAAACCGTTTCTAACCTCAGTTTCACCCCCTTCCTCAGGATTCTTTCTTTGGTGCTATACCCTAAGCCCCTTTCAAAAGACCAAAGTCGCAGCATACTTGAAAAAAAGGAACCTTTTTCTCTCTTATCATACACATAACTCAATGGAAAGGGAGTGTCATTCTCTCATTCAACATGGTGCAACTTCACGTTGACGAGCACAATGCAATTCACGTCCACTTTCTTGAACTGTATTACGATATTTTTATTTCTTAGAAAGACTGTTCGTCCTTAGTGATCAAAGAAACTTCAGACTGTAACTTTCGAGCTTGATTTGACCTCGAACATAAAATAAAACTCGTTTAATTTAACAAGTCGAGCTTCATAGCATCAATGTTTGACTTGGCTCATTAAAAAACCCAATTAAATTTATTGAGTTGAGCCGAGTCATTAGAGCATACACTTTTTCGGCAAGAACATGTTAATTTATTCATAAATCATAAAATAAAAAATATAAACTTAACATCAAGCTAATAAACGAGTTAATCAATTGTGAGTTTGAGCCCATGAACGAGCATCAAGCTCGAGCTCAGTAACTCAAAAAAACACTCGAGCTCGAGCGTTGCATTGAAAAAGTTATTCGAGCTCAAACTCGATATTTTTTTTGAGTCAAGCTCGAATAACCTACTATACGATTCGACCGAGCTCATTTACACCCCTAGATAGTAGATATAACTTACATGGTTGATGGAAATATATATTGGATACTGGTAGAGATGGATTCGTAATACCGAGTGGTAGTACTAAATAAAAACCATAATATAAAATAAAACAAAATTAATTCAAAAAGGATCTACGCTTTCATCTGAAATGATAAACAAGTAATCTCCTATAACATTCCTTTTTATGAAATGATTAATTACATATTCGTTCGTGACATTTATAGCACATCTTTATTTATATAAACGACCGAAATATTTAAAAACTGACCACCATATTAACAGAATATTTGAAACTCATCATCTTTTAAATTTCGGAAAAGTTAAAGACAAAATAATTAAATTCGCAACTTTAAGTACAATCATTTTAAGTACAATTTATTAGAGCTATATTTTTGAATTCGTATAACTAACCGCAGATAAACATAATCAAATATAAAATAAACATCTCATTTTAAATATAAAATTTTTGAAATATAATTACGATAATTATTGAGTTATAACAAAATAATTATCTTTATAAAAATTATATTGTTAAGCCAAAAATAAATTACCTCACTATTTGATCTAAATTAAACTATAATAAAAAAAATGAATTAAATAAATTGTACTAAAAACGAGAATTTTTAAATAGTTAATTTGATATTAACGTCTATATATTTTTTAAAATTCTTATTATATCTTCAAATTTATTTTTATTTAATTATCTTTCTAAAAATCACATAAACCGTATCATATCAACAAAGACAAAGAATAAAAACAAAATATTAAAACAAAGATGTATCTCATTGCATTACGTAAATACCCTTTTAGTACTAGAAGGGTACTCGCATAATGCAGCGAGATATATCTCGATTTTAATGTTTCGTCTTATTTTATTTTGTCTTAGTCGATGTTATAATATGGTTTTACGTGGTTTTGAGAAAGCGATAACGTTTTTATTTTTAAATAAAATATAATATGAAGATATCATAAGAAAATGAAAAAATATATTGATATTAGTACAAACTAACTATTTAAAATTTCTCATTTTTTGTATATTTCTTTAATTCATTTTTTTTACTTTTGGTTTAATAATATAATTTTTTATAAAGATAATAATTAAGTATTTTGTTAGAATCCAATGATTATCCTAATTATATTTTAGATTTTTTATATTTAAAATGAGATGTTTATCCTCTGTTTGATTATGTTTATCTACAGTTAGTTACACGAATTCAAACATGAAGCTTTAATAAGTTGTACATACGCTCAATTTACTTGTAATCTTAAATTTTAAATAATATGCATCAAGAAACAGTACTTTTCATGTATAAAAAATGATTTTTAAGAATTTTTATCAAATATTTTATAATTTAATATAAATACTTAAAAATACTGCATTTGTAAAAAAAATGAATATTTTCACAAATTTGAGCTTTCATTCTGATACAAT